ATCAATGCTAAAACAATGGTACCATATTCACCACTCTGGTAAAAACTTTCAAATACATTCAATATGGAGATAGTAAAAAAAGAGACAAGTAACCTACAGAGGGAATATAAATTAGATCAATTATTTTCGAAGGCAACTTAGGAGTATATAACCAAAGCTACAAAAATGCATATCCTTTTACACCAGTAATTCTATGACTAGGAATTTATTTACAAACACATACACAGAAAAGCAGTGCAGCAATAATCATCACAATAAAAAACTAGGAATACATTATGTGTTCAATAAACAGGTTAAAATATGTTTCAACATATTTTTTTATAACTGGACTATAGTGATGGTTGCCAGATGCACAACTCAGGAAATTAAAAAAAAAAATCAGTAAATATTTCAAATGAGTGGGTTTTACTGTAGTTTTTTTTTTTTTTTAATAATAAAACCAGAATAGTGGGTGCCTATTGAGTGGGGAAGGGACAATGCTGATAGGAGGAAGGAAAGGTAAGTTTCTGGGGATACAGTGATTTTTTTTCTTGAAAGGAAGGCTGATTGCACAGGTAGACTCTGAAATATCAAGATGTACACCTGTGATACCTGCACTTTTCTTTCAGTTATTACAATAAGAAGGTGAAGTTTGTTACAGCTGAACAATAATTCATACAGTTAATAAAAAGTTTTCCTGAAAAATATCTGAAGACTTGGGGAAATAGCTTAAAGTGTTAAAGAGAATATATGCAAATGTATGCGGGTGGGAGTGTAAATGTACACAGGATTATCTAAAATGGTAACAACATTAACATTACCACAGGGGGATGAACATCCCTTTTTTTCTTATTTACATTTATCTCTTTCTACACTAAATTATTACTTTCATGAATGTTTTTAAATGTATTAATTATTAAAAATAAAATGTGTTAAAATGAAATAATAATGTCATTACTAGTATATTTTAAGTCGCAAAGGACTAAATAGATTGTGATAAGAAATTAAGAACTAAATACTATAAAATAATTATATTACCTTATTATAGAAAAGAGAGACAATATTTTAAATCTGCTTTTCTAATTTAGCTATAAATTCATGAATATTAATTAATTAACATTAATTACTATAATGACTAATATAACAATTATTAGAAAACCCAAAGAGATCTCATCTCAAAGAAGACCAAAATCTTTTTAAAAACTACTATTATTAAGATTACAAGAAGTAAATACAACATTCACTACCTAATATGAAGGACCTACAATTAGTAAATGTACTATATTTCAATTTAGCTACCTCTTTCCCAACTAAATCACATGAAGATCACTTCCTTAATCATGGTTTCCAGAGGTCAAATAAATAAGTTAAATTCCAACCACTACTGAAACCAAAATACTCCTTCACTTACTAAGGATAACATCAAGGGAATAACCTTTACTTAAAAAAAAAAAAAAAAGCCTTATTAACAGCAGAATAAACAAATGCATACTTAATACTTGCTTTTCTTGCCTTCCCTGTTAAGATCAACCATCTGATTTTACTTTTAAAAATCTTTAGGTAATAAACTTAAAATCTTAAAGTCAAAGATTTTAAATATATTACCAAATAATTGCTCTTTTCAAATATCCCAATTCCCTCAGCCATATCCTGTCCCTGCTTTTTAACTATCTTACAACTAAGTGGATGTCTTTTAAGGCTAAACTTGGGTTACTCTAGCCAATTCTTTGGGAATCCTTGCAAATCAATTATAATCTTTTCTAAACTATTTACTTTTTTCTTAAAGAATGTGGAAAGTCCCTGAATTATTTATAAACTTATACATTCAAGGGCCCACCACTCTTATTTACAGTCATACCATTATTTTGGTATGTTGCTACTACAGTCATAACATTATTCTGAAAAACTTATAAGTATTTAGAGAATATGGGAGATGTCAAAGAAGTTACTAAAAGACCAACTGAGCTAGGAGCACACTCTGATTTTTTTGTTTTGTTTTGTTTTTTAAAAAACACTCAAGAGCTGGAGATATAGCTCAGTTGGTAGAGTGTGTGCCTTGCATGAAAATCCCCAGCACCAAAAAAAAAAAAAAAAATTCAAACTTGAAGCCTAATTTGTTAACTACCCCAAGCTCTATATTTCCTTACGTGCATAGACCTCAATTTCAATAGTTTTGATCATCAACTTTAAAAACTTTAGTGTAACCTAATATTATGCATACTATTTAAAATTATATTCCCATTTTATTATACCTATAAAATATGAATTTTTACTACCTGTGTTCCTAACACAAATCTAAAATAATCAGTATTGAAGAAATAAAAGTACTCTGGGAATAGACAGTATTTTGGGGGGGAAAAGGGGGGGATAAAAGTACATAAGAGTAAGGGAATTGGGACAGAAAGACAGCAAAACAAAAGAAAGTAAATTGAAAAGGAAACAGAAACATTGTCAAGTAGAAGACAAACTTGACCGATTCAACAAATTTTCTGAAAACAGATCATGGGCAAAACAAAAGGAATCTGTCTTTCTTTTTAATCATAATTTGTTAATCCTATGGTCACCCCAAATTAAGCCAGACATCTGGAGTTAAATTGGATAGCCTGGACATTATTTCTGTGATAAATGCTCTGAAATATCAGAAAATACTACAATATTTACACAGGATTCACATCAATGAATACTGCTCAAAGTTTTAAAATGAGCTTAGAAATAACAAAGTAAAAACTGCATATACTCTTGACCAAGCAACTTCACTGGTAGAGATATACATGATCCTCTAGAGTTATTTATATACATGAACCAGGATATTTGATGCAACTCCCTCATTTACAGCAAAAAAACAGAAACAATCAAAGTATCCACTAATAAGAGACTTCTTTACAATAATTATGATTCAACCATACAACAGAATGTATACAACCATAAAAAGAAGAGATTAGCCATATGTGCTGGTTATACAATGTAAAGCAGGTGAAAAAAATCAACATCTATATAGACAGTAAGACCCTTGCTACATAATTTTTTAAAAGAAAAACAGCTCTGATCAATAGTTATTCTGGAGAAATCTTTTTTTCTTCCTGCAAAGAAACAATGGAATTTGGGAACTGAAATAAGTAAGAAAGGAATCTGCAGGGAAAAGACTAATCCTGATATTTTGTTTTATTCTTTTTTCAAACCATGTAAATCTTAATATAAATATATATGTATGTATTCTCATATATATATATTCTTATATTCAAATATACGTACATATTCTTATGTACATGTTTTTTATATAATATATATTTTATATATTTTATGCATGTGAAATATATATATATATATATAAAACATGTTGTTTTTTTTTAATAAGGATGCTGATCAAACCCAGGGCCTCATACACATCAGACAAACACTCTTAAATTAAAATTGAGCTACACCCCCAGACCTTCCTTTTCTTTTCTAATTTTACAATATGGTAACAGGTGTGGGTAATATAAAAGACTTATTAGTGTTTTTTTAAAATGTGTTTTAAGACAAAATGAAGCAAATTGAGGTATTGCACACCTCAATTTGTCTCTGTAAACAGGATAGTAAACAGGACAGGAAATAAAATAAGGACCACATACAAAGAAAGGAAACTTCCAAAAGCCTATGAAGAAAGGAAAGAGTACAAACCTATGATACAAAAAATGATAAAGTAGGAAAAGTACATTTATGTATTGTCCTTGCACCTCCCTTTTAAACCATAATAGTTTCATCACCACCCCTAATAACTCTTAGTCACGCCTCACTGCATGTTCAGAAATCCAAATACAACAAAGGGTCCCATGCTCAAGACTTAACACGCGTTACTTCCCTTCTGTAACTTAGTAATTTTCAGGGAGGCTCAGCAAAGCGTAAAGAAAAAAGAAAAGAAAAACAGATGTAATCAATTCACATTAATATGTGAATAGTTAAATGTCTCTCCCCGTTTACCCCTGAAAAAGCCAACTAATTTTTGACCCAAATGTGCCTATGGAAATTCAAAGGTTAGGAATGTTACACAGGAAAAGAAAAGAAAT